TTAAAAAAAAAAAAAAAAAAAATCAAATATATCATAATGACGTAAGTACCGAAGATAGCAGGCAGATTTGATTATGCATTTTAAACCACTACTGAGCATTATCTCAAATCACTCTAAAGTAGTGATTTTCTGAAATTTTTTTATGTTTCGATTATATGGGCAGCAGAAAATATTAAACGACCCAAACTCTGAATTTATGACTTTGGGGCCTAAATTTAGTACTGTCTCACTAGGAACTTCATATACACCCTATAAAGATAGAAGGGAGCATTTCTCCAAGCCTGAACTTTAACATAAGGAGTATCAACAAGATCTTTAGGTCTAAACTATTGGACTGCTTTCTGAGACAGCAATACATATTCATAAATGTCCTTAAAAATCCCTTTCGCACACTGATATGACAGAATTAAGTGTGGTGCCACACACACCAGCCTAAAAGACAACAAATATTCAGATCAAAATCCAAATTAAGATAATCTGAACTCATGTCAAATACAGATTTTTCAGTATTTTGCATGGGGTAAGGGCTACATTTGGAAAAAAACCAACAGTTAAACATATATGCAACTAGGCAAGCAGTATCTTTTTGCACTTTGCAGTAAATATCGACCTACCATAAAATTACAAAATGTTAGTTTGTACTTTCTAGCTTTTTCCCATTTTTAGTTAATGGCAAAGATCCATTAAGTTTTATTTTATGTGTGTAGACTCACAATGGATAAACTGCATCAGTCCACTGCTGTGGCCATTTGAAATCTGAAGATGCATTTCCTTCAAGTCAGAAAACAGGTTTTGAAAATGGGAGGACCTGTGTGATGCGTGATGGCAACAGCCTTCCAGAAATTCAAGCTAGAATGTTCCTATACCACATCAATAACATCGTCTATCTACAGAGGCTTTCCATAGGAGAGCAGGTCAGGTTTAAATTGTCTTGTCTCTTTTATTTCTTAGGACAAAGCTAGCACAGTTGAGGCTCATACAAAAACACCCTACAGGATGAATTCCATGTAGGATAATCCCTCCAAAAAACATCAAGTTTTCCAATTATAATTGCCTGTGTAGGAGATTTTCCCAAAGGGATTTCCCAAAATACAGATATCATTAATCTCAAGCTGCAGCAGTGTCTCTAAAGTTGTAATGTTTGGTATGAAGCATTTGCAAGCTGAAATTTGAACAGTATTTCCAACAAAATAAACCCTTCAAGTCAGAGGGATTCAGGAAAAAGTTTTATGAAAGACTAGTCAATACTCTAAGATTCTAAACCTTGAATGAAAATATCCACTTCAAAATAATAGAGCATTTAAAATTAAACATGCCACTATTTGTAGACCTAACATTAGCAGAGTAAAAATACTGCTAAATACCTGAAGTGGAGGGGAGGGGTGAATGGAGAAACCTTAAAATGAACCTCAAGCTGTAATCCTAAATGTGCCTCACAGTTCATTTGATCTCACAGTGAGCTATTCACAAATTCTTTGAGTCAGTAATTTGAAATGACTGTTAGTCAACAGATTATGCAGAGGCAAACATGTTATGACTTTGAATAAAAACCTTCCTACAAGTCTGAACAGACTACTTCCTCCCACAGGAGACAGCTTTTAATCTTCAACTTTTACTAGACTTGCCATTTAAGGAAAGATTCATTTACAGCTGTGGCTCTTGGCACAGACAGATGTTCAAAATAAACTATTACATGTACCAAACAGAATTTTAAATCAAATTTCTTTCCTCTAGTAGCTACTCCTACAAACCTGTTAAGAAACGGATCAGAACTATTTGTAGTCATTGTTCTCAGCTCCTGAGACATTCCAGGAGATGACACGGGGTTTTGAGATCCACCGTCTTGTTCCATTGTTGGAAGCTGGCTACGGAGAGCCAATTCCTAGAACAGCAGGAGAGGGAGAAAGAGAGATCATGTTAGGCATTTGAACACACTTTTTGGATACATAAACATGTGACATTATAGATAACTGATGTTTTTACTGCTTCCAGTTACAAGAGTTAAATGAAATTAAACTAAAGTTTCTGAGGACAAAGCAAGAATCTGTACTGGCTTCAATGAAAATGCAAGTTCCAGCAGCCATGGCCAACTGTAAATGTATTTATGGGTATAAATATCAGTATGCTTACACAAATATTTTCTAGTTCATCTCAGTATCTTTCTGCTAAGTCTATACTTAAACTAAAACAAGGATTGTTAATACCATCTGACCCCTAATATAACCAGTTTAGTTCTGCTAAATAGCATTTCATCCCCATTTCTTTTAAATTTTCTTTTAGTTCCTGGCTTCCTTTGTACCTTTCTTGTTTCAGTCAGCAAACTTTCAAGTCTCTCCCTAAAAGAGAGACTCTTCTTCCATTCAATCCTCTTGTTTGAGGCATGCATTTGAAATTTCTTTCTGATCAAATCCATGATTAGCTCCCTAAGCAAATTTCAAAGCCCTTCAAATTCCGAGTAATTTCTTAGTAAGACCAAGACACTGCACTTCTGAAGTTACAAATCTAAATTGAATATAATTTTTTGCACATGTGAATGTTTACCAGCTTGAATCAAACCATCCATTGTAATTACTAATTAATGAAAGTGTTAACATAAAATGCATTATATTAAAGGTGGACAGAAATAAGTAACATTTTATGTAATTTCCAGTGATCCTTCTCCCCTTTTTAAACAAGTAATCCATGAGTTACACATGTGAAAATACAGTAATTTTCTTCAAGCAACTCTGTTCAAACATCATCAATGTCTCACCAAGACTGAGCTTTGTTAATGCAGAGACTGGTAAATCTATTGACTATCTTGTCACCATTAATGGTAGTATGTGACATCCAGGCTGTGCCTGGGAAGATAATCTCAGGCAAAACCAATCCTGTCAGTCTTGACAATACTCAATATTTCTCACTTGTAAAATGAGATGTCTTCATCCATTTTCAACGATAAGCTTAAAAACTACTATACTGTAGTCTTTTAGTATATAAAACTAACTTTTCCCCAATTCTTCAAAGTGATTTCTTTTTAAGCAATCCTAAGGTTATTTTATTTCCAGCAGACGATGTACTGAAGCTGCCCTACTGCCTGGTTTTCTTTTCTTTTCTAATATGCATATGCTTCACTCCCATTCCTGTGGATTACTATTCTACATGCATTCTACATTACTATTCTACATATTTATGTCTTGTACAAGAAAATTTTCTCACTACAGTTTGTCAGATCTCTGCAGAAAGTGCACAAGCATACCAGTGGTTTTTGTGTTCATCACACCCAACTGCTACTTCAAGTAAACCAAATCCTCTGCTCATCACCACGTATATGGCCACTGTTCTAATGAACAGCAATAATACTCCATCTCCATTTTCAGATCACAGGATACTAAGCATCTTTTAATGATTTCTAGAGGCTTATCCACATGATTTCCATTTGCTTATGTTAAAAAACACGTCAAAAGCCTACCTAAAGACATCTTACTGCACAGCTAAGTTGTATGCAACCTTGTATCAGTCACAAGTTACCTGATATACAGGTAGACTCATCCATTTGAAAAAAAGAAAGAAAAAAGTGTTTTTCCCTGGAATGCTTCCCAGACAGTGATCTGAAGAAGGCAGAAGGTCTTAGAGCAGCTATGCCAGAGGTGGCTCAAGAACTGCTCATCCACACGCTCTGTCCTTTTCCTCTTCCCTCTTGGCTTGATCTATACATTACATCTTTATTTCCTTGGGCTGCAGTTCCTGATTTGGATGAAGAGGAGGAGCCAAAAGTGCCAGCAGACTGCAGAAGCAGCTTGATCACACACCAATGCCACAAAGAGTGGTGACAAAGGAAAAACTACATAGCATCATTTCTGTATATGAACTAAAGTGACATTTTATCTCCCTTGTGTGGCCTTTCCAATCATGACTGCCTCTTGATTCAGTAGTGAGGAAAATAAGAAAACCATACACATCCCTTTTTCAAGAGCTACTGACACCAGGAAAGAAAAAAACCCCACAATTTTTCTTCTGTTACCATAAGAAAAAAAGTCAGTACAAACGAACAAGAAATTTGGAAAAACAGGGAAGTTATCTCTGCATTTTTATGAATCCTCAGAATGTAGGAGAGGTTGAAGTTTCATCAGTACATGAACTTAAGTAGTATGGTAAAAATAAATGTAGCTGAAGACACTAGCCATTTAAAACAAACAAAAAAAAAAAGTATCTAATTTCTTTAAAGGCCCACTAAAGAGATGTATTAAACCAGGACAGAGAACTATATTTTGCCTATTCTTTGGCATGTACTACATAGTGAAACTAGTATTTTTAAAATTAGTACTACTTTTATCTTTGTTTCAACAACATTGCTAAAAAATGCAAAACTGCAACTATTTTTAACTATTTATAAGTAGCATTACTGCTACTTTTTCAGGAGTCAGGAGCACTTTCCCCTCAGAAGAATGTTATTACTCATCTAAGTAATACATTTATGTCATTCTGGGAGTCTGAAAGAGAAAGGAATTACCAAAAAAGACAAGCTATTGAAAAACAAATACAGGGCAATTTTTAATCATCCTGCAAGATAAGGTAAGTTTCCTAAAGGCCTAAAGAGTATGTTAAGACTATTTTTCCTAAAAGGTGTATAAAATGGAAGCTGAAGTGTTGCTTGAACAGTCTTTTCACTCCTCCTTCCTTATAGACGTGTTTTGCAAAAAAAAAAAA